TGCTTAAATCCAGAAGGCAGAGGTTGCAGTGAGACGATATCGTGCCACTGCACTCCAGCCTGGATGACAGAGTGAGACTCTGTCTCAAAAACAAAAACAAAAAAAACAAAGATCCTTGCCAGCCCTAATACTTTATGAATCTACTAGTTTTCAAAGAATTAGAATCCAATATAAGAAAATATATGTATACTAATAGAACTAGAGTAATACTTTTTTTTTTTGAGATGGAGTCTCGCTCTGTCACCCAATGGTGAGATCTTGTCTCACTTCAACCTCTGCCTCTTGGGTTCAAGTGATTCTCCTGCCTCAGCCTCCTGAGTAGCTGGGTGTGGAGGCACACGCCACCATACCCAGCTAATTTTTTGTATTTTTAGTAGAGATGGGATTTTGCTATATTGGCCAGGCTGGTCTTGAACTCCTGGCCTCAAATGATTTGCCTGCCTTGGCCTCCCCAAGTGCTGAGATTACAGGCATAAGCCACCCTGCTCAACGTTTTATTGTTGTTGTTGTTGTTTTACTTTTAAAAAAAATTTTCTAGGGGCTGGGTGCTGGGCATTTTTTTTTGAGACGGAGTTTCGCTCTTGTTACCCAGGCTGGAGTGCAATGGTGCGATCTCGGCTCACCGCAACCTCCGCCCCCTGGGTTCAGGCAATTCTCCTGCCTCAGCCTCCTGAGTAGCAGGGATTACAGGCACACGTCACCATGCCCAGCTAATTTTTTGTATTTTTAGTAGAGACGGGGTTTCACCATGTTGACCAGGATGGTCTCGATCTTTTGACCTCGTGATCCACCCGCCTTGGCCTTCCAAAGTGCTGGGATTACAGGGTTTTTTTTTTTTTTTTTTTTTTTGTAAGAGAAGGGTTCTTGCTATGTTGTCCAGGTTATTCTGGAACTCCTCAGCTCAAGGAATCCTCCCACCTAAGCCTCCCAAAATGCTGGGATTATGGGTGCGAGCCACTGGGCCAATTCCTGAGTGAATCTTTGATTTAGAAAGTAGTGCACTTTTTCTTTTTTATTTCTACAAGAGTTTGGAGAATTTTTTCTTTTTTTAATTCCTAGCACAGTGCACTATTTTTTCTAAAGCTTGAGATCACGATCATCATAAAGATCAGCTTTGGGAAACTAAATTGACCTCACGCTATACTCTGAAAATTATTATTTTTTTAAATATATATTTTATTGCATTTTAGACTTTGGGGTGCATGTGAAGAATATGCAAGACTGTTGCATAGGTACATACATGGCGATGTAGTTTGCTGCCTTCCTCCCCATCACCTGTATCTGGCATTTCTCCCCATGTTATTGAAAATTATTTTTCTGAATTAAAAAAAAAAACTCTGAGTTGGGCATGGTGGCTCACACCTGTAACCCCAGCACTTTGGGAGGCCAAGCGAGGCAGGCAGATCACAAGGTCAAGAGATAGAGATCATCCTGGCCAACATGGTGAAACCCCATCTCTACTAAAAATACAAAACTTAGCTAGGCTTGGTGGCATGTGCCTGTAGTCCCAGCTACTTGGGAGGCTGAGGCAGGAGGATTGCTTGAACCCGGGAGGTGGAGGTTGCAGTGAGCTGAGATCATGCCATTGCACTTTAGCCTGGCGACAGAGCGAGACTCTATCTCAAAAAAAGTAAATAAATAAAATAAAAAGAAATAAGAAACCCCAAAACAACAACAATATGGTATCATGTCGTAAAAGAGAAGTGACTGTGTAAGCATACAATATATTTGAAATGTTACTATATACACAAAGAAAATATTTATGTACAATATTTATATTCTGGAGTATGTCAATGGTGGTATGACACTAAGGAGAGAAATATTTGCCGTGAAATCCATGTCAAATGCGCCGTTATTTGGATGTAAGGCCAATGAAAAAGACACAGTGAAAAAGAGACTAAAACACAGAATCAGCATGAAAGAAGGATTCATCTAAATCTGGGGTATAATTTGGTTAATATACAACATAAAATAAAGACAGAAGAAAGGGAAGGAAATGTATAAGAAATAATTTTAGAAAGTCATTCCAGAAAAAATCTATCTTATAAAACACATTTTAATGCTAGTCTTTTAGTACTTATTTATGTCAGGCCACTTCTTACTAGATGTTTGGTTTCCCGTGCTAAGACTCAGAAAAATTGTCTTGTGGTTAGAAAATAGCATATTCTCAAGGCAGTTGACTCAAAAGTATATTTTTTTGGCATGCCATTTTTTACAACCAATTTTACTTTAAAAAGAGGGTGAATTAATTAGCTTGGAGATTAACTCTCACTGGTAGAAGTGTAGTGGATTTATTCAGCATGCTTAAAAAAGAAAATGGATGAGAACTTAGGACTCTCTCTCTCTCTCTATGTGACTGACAGAAAGTAAAGAACCTGAGATAAAAAAAAAATTAAAAAAGAAAGAAAAAGAAAAATTAAGAACACTGAAGGGATGGTAGGAAAGATTTCTTAAAACAGAGTAGTTAGAGGAAGGTATGCAACTAAGTTAGACTCGAGGGCAAAGTCTGAAAACCCCAACAACAGAAGTATTCTTTCTTTTTCTTTTTATTTATTTATTTTATTTTATTATTCAAAAAAAATTTTTTTAAAGACAGGGTTTCACCATGTTGATCAGGCTGGTCTTGAACTCTCGACCTCAGGTGATCCGCCTGCCTTGGCCTCCAAAGTGCTTGGATTACAGGCGTGAGCCACCACACCCGGCCAAGAAGTATTCTTTAGGAAAATTAATGCCAGGAGCACTCCTAAGGTGAATTTACTAAAATAAAATGGAAAACAGATATTCAGCCTGTTGAGGCTTACAAAGGAAATAAATGTAGCATACCTGTAATACCAGACCCTCAAGGGAAAGAAAATGCTTTAAAAAGACAAATTTTTCAAGGCTGTAAAAATTAAAACATTCTAACTTACTTCAGGTATATGAAAAGAGAAAATCATGTAAGATTAGAAGATATTATATTTTTGGCCATTCGGAAAGTAAAGAACTGTTATGATCATAAATATCAAAGCTGGCCAGGTGTGATGGCTTTGTCTGTAATCCCAGCACTTTGGGAGGCTGAGGAGGGCGGATCACCTGAGGCCAGGAGTTCAAGACCAGCCTGGCCAACATGGCAAAACCCCTCTCTACTAAAAATAAAAAAAAAAAATTGGACAGGCGTGGTGGTGGGCACTTGTCATCCCAGCACTTTGGGAGGTGGAAGTGGGTAGATCACTTGAGGTCAGGAGTTTGAGACCAGCCTGGGCAACATGGTGCACCACCATGTCTCTACTGAAAATACAAAATTTAGCCGGACATGGTTAAGATTACATAGCACATGCCTGTAATCCCAGCTAATGGGGAGGCTAAGACAGGAGAATCGCTTGCGCCCAGGAGGTGGAGGTTGCAGTGAGCTGAGATCATGGCACTGCACTCCAGCCTGGGCAACAGAGTGAGATTCCATCTCAATAAATAAATATATAAATCTTAAAGCCAATGAAAAAATCAATAATCCGTTTTAAAAATGTACAAAAAGGACGCCTTTCAGCATTCCATAAATCGCTAATTCAATATACAAAAACCCCTACAAACACTTTAATTAAAATTTTGAGGCTGACTCTGGGGCCACTGCCTATTGGCCCTGCTCTCAAGAAGTAGTATACTAAGAAAGTTAAATTTTTTTGGGTATTTCAATTTTTTTTTTTTTTTGAGACAGAGTCTCACTCTGTTGCCCAGGCTGGAGTGCAACAGCAAGATCTCAGCTCACTGCAACCTCAGCCTCCCGGGTTCAAGCAATTCTTCTGCCTCAGCCTCCTGAATAGCTGGGATTACAGGCGCCCGCCACCATGTCCAGCTAATTTTTGTATTTTTAGTAGAGAAAGGGTTTATCCATGTGGGCCCTGGTCTCAACCTCCAGACTTCGTGATCCTCCTGCGTCGGCCTCCCAAAGGGCTGGGATTACAGGCGTGAGCCACCACGCCAGGCCTCTAAATCTTAAATTAAAAAATACATATATTAACATTTATATTTTAAAATATGCTTTTAAAAACATCAAAAAATTAACTTATTACGTATTTTAAGGACTCCTGGACAAACCGAGGGAATAATCAATACGAACACCAAAACAAATATATATGAAATTCAAAATTTCATTTTATAGGAATAGTATCTGTTCATTCAGGCACTGGTTGCCTGAATGAATTATTCAGTGACAGGCGTAAACTCAGTCAGGATTAGAAACGTGTTTCCAGCGGAGGCCCAGCTCAAGTTGAGAATTCATGGACCCAATCATCCAAAAGCCCACCTTCAATAACTACAGTAGGCATAAAAATAGGCCGATGGTTACTTTGGTGATAATATAACTCTCGGTCTTATTGTTGTGGAGCAGATGTCATTATGGGTGGGGCTGAAGCACATAGCAGCTGAAACGTTTTTATACCACTCCCCTCGCACACTTTCAGTGGGAGAGAAGGGGCTCCAAAAGGTAAGAGAAGGGCTCCCAATAGTCAGTTGCTGGTAGTAATAACTAAGTTTTGATGTGGCCGCGGTAGGCGTAAAGGCCACAAAAAGATTTTTAAAAAATTCTCCATGATTAATTCCTATCCTGGAAAACAGACCATCTCCTTTTCCCCTCCCTAGCCGCTCCTCCTTGGGACATTTGGCTGAGTCTTTCTTTCCCTCCTTCCCACGCTGAGGTGAGGCCGCACGCTAGTCTAGGACGCCGATTTTTCTCTTCGCGCGGAGGAACTCTACGGGTAAGAAGCCGGGATGGCGGGAAAGGAGCGCGCGGCACCGCGGGGAGGCAGAGAAGGCTTGCCAGGAACTAGTCGGCTTGGGGAGAGCAGGGACATGCGGGCCGCCGGTCCGAGGAGGCAGAGGTGACGAGGAAAATCTCCCGGCGCGGAGCAGGGACTGGGCGCTTCCGGCGGGCCACGGTTGTTCTCGGCCTAGCGCAGCGCGTCTCCCGGGCCCCAACCAGGTCGGGAGGGAGTTAGGAGAGAGGGTAAACCGCGGCTCGCACTTGCCTGAGACCGGGTGACCAGTAACTGGTAATAGTCTTTGCTTGGCGGCGGGCCTTGTCCTACAATTTCGAACAGAGTCTCCGGCAGCCACGACGCCATCTTGGGACGCCACCGCCGTCGCTAAGACAACCAGGAAGAGGCGGGGTTTGGTGGGGTCAAGGGGCCAAAACCCTAGTTTAAATCGAGCCACGCTTATGAGCTGGCAGAAGGATTTCTAACTTGGGGCGATCGTCCCTTCTTCCAAGGGTCACAGGGAACCCTGATCCGTGAAATTTCCAGCTCTAGGTCCCGGGTGACCCGAAGGGGAATTAGTTCCTGCTACCACGGAGGGGAGGGGGTGACCCCAGCGGAGGGATACCAAGCGGAGCTTCACAGTCCCCTTCCTGGTCCCTCGATGAGCTTAGGAGGAGATCGGAGGCTGCTGAGAGGGTCGAGCCGGGCGGCGGCGGAGGGAGGGGCGATGTGATGGGCCGCCAGTAGGCAGTGGGGCTGGTCCCGCGGACGAGCCCGACAGCCGGAGCCCGAGGGCAAAGTAGTTCCCTGAGGGTGTCTGAGCGGGCGGGGAGAGAGGCGGCACGGGCGGAGGCGCACGCCGGCAGCGGTGCTGCGGCTCAGCTGATAATTGAAGGGACCCGGAGCTGCCGCCGCCGCCGCCGCCGCTGGGGGGGGGTGGGGGGAGCGAGTGGAAGTTACTGCCGCGCCACCGAGTCCGGACCAGAGACTTTGGGGCCTAACTAGGTAAATGGGGCGCAGCTCCGGGCGGTGGGGGCAAGCCTGGGGGGAGGGGGCCGGACTGAGGGGTTGGGGGGGCGGGGGGAGGAGCTGGAACAGAAAGTCCCAGGAAGCCCGGTTGTGTCATCGCGGAGATTCGGCCCCCGCTTGGCCTGCTCCCGGCGCCGGAGGGGCCGCGGAGGGACCGTGCCCGGGGTTGACGGGAGAGACGCTCCAGGGCGGCCGCGGCCGGAGGGACCGGGGCCGGGCGGGAGGTGGGGGTCGCTGGGTCCCTCCTCCGGCTCCCGGCAATGAAGAGGGCCCTTCACAGAAGCGGGGTAAAGCTTGCGGGTGTTGGGGAGCTCGGCGGGGGTCGAGGGGGGCCGGAAGTGGGCTTTGGAGCTTGGAGGGTGTCTGGGAAGAGAGAAAGTGGGGGGCCGGAAGTGCAGGTGGGGAGTGTGAAGACGGCAAGGGTTCCCCGGAAATGGGACGAGGGGCCCGGAAACCGGGAGAGGGGAGGCTCCGGGGCCATGGACGGCCCGGAAATGGAAACTAGGGAGCAGCTCGAGTGACAACAGTTGTGGGAAGCGAGGGTCAGAGGAGGGAGAGGCCGGAGTGACTTTAGACCTCAGTAAGGGGTTTCCTGCACAGGGGGACGGTGAGGAGTGGTTGAGGGCGGGTGAGTCCGGAGACTGGGTCTGCGCGGGGCAGTTTTTTAAGCCGTGGGAAGTTGGGGCTGAGGGAGGAAGATGACGAGCGGGGCATGCAGGGGGGCCCAAAGAAGCCGAGAAACTTGACTGAGAAGAATAGAGCATCCTTTTAAATAGATAAGAATGGAAATTGGTGGTAGGTGGGTTTCACTAGGACTTGGGGGAGGGAGGTGGGCCAATTGTCACCCCAATCGTATTAGCATTCAGAGCGAGTCAGGCGATTAATTTATTTATACGTGGATTACATAAAACCTATTACAACGTTTGTCCATCAGTTCAGCCTCTCTCCTTCCTTCTCCATAGTGAGTGGGTTTGAAGTACAGGGGCAAGTTAGAGGGGAGTTCGAATAACGAAGGTAGTAAAATCTCAAATCCTATCCTCGGCGTCTTTCCCTTCCTCAGAATGAGAAATCCTTCATTTCTTAGAGGGGAAAAATGCGGAAAAACATAAAAACACATGTAAATCGGGGGAGGGGCGAATAACGTTTAAACTGCTGGTGGGGTACAGGAGGGAATTGGTTAGTCTACGTGGTAAAGAGAGAACCGAAGGGGCAGCTTTCAAGCCCTTAAGATGTTTGGTTTTTTTGATAATGCTGTTTTACTTTGTCTGGGGTTGGTTTAGCCTAAGCATCGAGTCTGGTGGTCGGCATAGTTATTTTGCTTGGTTAGTTAATTGGGGGAGGGAATGTGTCTGTGTGTAAAGGTTGGTGGGGGGCGGGTACGGTAATAGCGCAGTGAATCCGTTCTAAGTGGACGCCTAACTGCTCTCCTGCTGTCTCCCTGGTCGCGGTCCTCGGTCTTGCCTGGGCTGCCAGATCACCCGATCTCCGGGCTTTAGTCTGTTTTTTAGGCCCTTTAGTGATGTGTTTAACTTTCTATTCCTCTCGAGAGTCTCAGTAGATATTTTTGGCATTTCATTTTTTAAAGACCTGGCAAGTTGAGGCTCAGCGTCTCCTCTTTAAAAACAAAACAAAAAATACAGGGTAGAAAGTTGAAAGAGCTATTGAGTGGGGTAAAAAACCGACGCTCAGAACAAAGGTCCTAGTTGTGTTAGAAAAAAAGGCAAGAGGCCTGTATATGAGGTCTGTGTGTGTCGCTTTTACACTCCAGGGGGGGTTGAGGAATGGAATTGGCAGAGGTTTAGAGACAATAAATTGTAGAGGGTTTTATTGAGGCTGTTTTTCTTATTTATTCGATGCAAAGTGATCAATATTAAGTGTAAGTTTTAGAGTATACCAAAATTCTAATTCTTTTTTTTTCTTGACACTTCCTGCTCTGTGTTCAGCCCCAGAAATGTTGAACTGCTGTGACTCTATCGTCTTTGAGGGACTGAGGGAGTTTTTATTCCATTTATTTTAAGTTTAAGACCTTGTACATAACATGGTTTGGGTTTGTGGGCTATGTACACGTCTACCTTTCTATGAATGTGCCAATATCCCTAAGAATTGGAAAACTGTAATTAAGATTATCATTGTTTTCATTTAGTTCCCAGTTTTTCAGGAGTATGAGCAGTTTTTAAATCTGTTCAGCTGACATTTATACTACTTAGTTTGTGTCTATGAACAGGCTTTTTTTTTTTCCATTTACTTTGACAAAGTTTGAGGACAATTTTGGTAGAGTTCCAGAAGGTGCTAATCTAGTTACATTTAAAAAACCAAATGGAATGCTACCCAGACCGCGGTAAAATCAGTACTTTCACCTGGCGAAGTAAATTTGTAGTAATGTATGCTTCCTTTCCCATTGTAACTTTTTTTTTTTTTTTTTTAATTTATTTAAAGACAGAGTCTCTGTCACCCAGGCTGGAGTGCAACTTCTGCCTCCCAGGTTCAAGCGATTCTCCTGCCTCAAACTCTGGAGTAGCTGGGATTCCAGGCATGCACCGCCACACCCGGCTAATTTTTGCATTTTTAGTGGAGATAGAGTTTCACCATGTTGGCCAGGCTGGTTTTGAACTCCCTACCTCATGTGACCCCCCTGCGTTGGTTTCCCAAAGTTTCTGGGATTACAGGCAAGAGCCACTGTACTGGCCCCAGTGTAACTTTTAAGATTATTTTATTTATGTTATCTAGACAAGGTTTTAATATCCTGCTTTAAGGTTGTCATCCTAGCAGTGAAAACATGAGTGGCGTGGAAATTCACACACTAACAGTTAGTAGCTTTGTGACTTTGAGCTAGTCACTTGCCCTATCTGGTTTTCATTTATTTTTTCTGTAAAATGGAGTGGGGTAATCTTTATTCTACCTCACTGGGTGATTGTGAGACCCAGCAGATTTAATGGCTGTGAAAAACAACAACATGCTAAATAAATTAGTTTCAGAAAATTACATTAGCTGTTTTGAGGTCATTTTTTAAAAGATACAATTTCTCATTTGTGGTGGTGGTCCATGGGGAAGGGGAGAATTAATGTAAAGTAGGTTGAAGGTACAAAGTTATAGAACTTTATAAATTGAAATTGCTGCTTAATTGATAGTAGAATTTGGGCCTAATTTTTGTCTTATTTAAGTTACTTTCTTTTTTTGGCATCAGCATACCAGATACACTTTTTGGCCATACATTCTACTCTATAAACTTGTTAATCTGTTTAAATAAACTTCAAATTTGTTTACGTTTTCCTTTTTTTTTTTTTTGAGACAGAGTTTCGCTCTTGTTACCTAGTCTGGAGTGCAATGGCACGATCTCTGCTCACCGCAACCTCCACCTCCTGGGTTCAGGCAATTCTCCTGACTCAGCCTCCTGAGTAGCTGGGATTACAGGCACGCGCCACCATGCCCAGCTAATTTTTTGCATTTTTAATAGAGACGGGGTTTCACCATGTTGACCAGGATGGTCTCGATCTCTTGACCTCGTGATCCACCCACCTCGGCCTCCCAAAGTACTGGGATTACAGGCTTGAGCCACTATGCCCAGCCTTGTTTATGTTTTCATTGATAAAATGTGTACCTTTGTACCTGGTCTAGTTTCTACTCTTATGAAATTGACTTTTTTTTTTTTTGAGATGGAGTTTTGCTCTTGTTGTCCAGGCTGGAGTGCAATGGCGCAATCTTGGCTCACCACAACCTCTGCTTCCCGGGTTCAAAGTGATTCTCCTGCCTCAACCTCCTGAATAGCTGGGATTACAGGCAGGCGCCAACCATGCCCAGCTGATTTTGTAATTTTAGTAGAGATGGGATTTCTCCATGTTGGTCAGGCTGGTCTTGAACTCCCGACCTCAGGTGATCCTCTCACCTTGGCCTCCCAAAGCGCTGGGATTACAGGTGTGAGCCAAATTGACTTTCTAATGTAAGAGATTACAGTTAGGGAATAATGCTTCTGAATCTTGGTCACTGTTTTTTTTTACAGAACCTAGGGAACTTCCCCCCTTTTAAGTGGACAGGTAGGGATCTTTTTGAGCAAATGTGATACCATTTGCCCCTTTATTTTTCTGTTTACTGTGGTCCTTTGATGGACTCAAGTCAAAACGGCAACCTATTTGGTTTTTTATCTTCACTGAAATTGTTTATTGCAATTGCCAGTTTGACTTGGACTTTCCCTCATTTAAATAAAGGGAGCACCCACTATGTACAGAAAAACATAGAAGATAAAGGAGGTAAAGAACAACTTAGAACTCATCCCTCTTGAGATCACTTCCTCAAACAAATTTCTGCCTGTGATCTTTGTATTTCTGGTTATCTGTACTGGCTTCATTTCTGCATTACAG